TTCTTCATAGCAGAGGTGTTCCAGCCCTCGGATCATCTTCATGGCCCTCCTCTGGACTCGCTCCAGCAGCTCCATGTCCTTCTTGTGTTGGGGGCCCCAGAGCTGAAGGCAGTACTGCAGGTGGGGTCTCACAAGAGCAGAGTAGATGGGCAGAATCACCTCCCTCGACCTGCTGGCCACGCTCCTTTGGATGCAGCCCAGGACACAGTTGGCTTTCTGGGCTGCCAGTGCACATTGCCGGCTTGTGTTGAGCTTCTCATCCACCAGCACTCCCAAGTCCTTTTCCTTAGGGCTGCTCTCAATCCATTCTCTGCCCAGCCTGTACTTGTGCTTGGGATTGCCCCGACCCACGTGCAGGACCTTGCACTTGTCCACCTGATGACTCCTCTGGTGTCTCCATGTTCAGCTCATGCTTGGGAATATCTGTCTTCAATTTTTTCTTCTTCTAAACAGAGTTTGGGCATTTTCAGTTACCCAGCCTCCTTGTTACTTCTGCCTCTCACCTACTGACGTAGTATTTGGAGTCTGGGTGATGAGAGGGAGCAGAAGCACAGAGCAACAGCAGGTAGGTGTCTCGGCAGCTGTAATTTCCCCCTGTAAGACTGGAGTAAGGCCTCATCCTTGGCAAGGAGAAAGAGGAGTGCACTAGGTTTCACTCAGTCGGGAATGAAATTGGACAATTCTTACTTCTAGGCTCCCAAGAAAGCATAGAAGGAATGATAAGCGGCTGAAAGTATGTTTAATTGGGAGATCTGTCTGTGGCTTCTCACACCCATCAAGAAAGGAGAAGGGCAGAATGGGGATGAGGAGGGGACCACGGCTGTGAAGAATATGAGGGAAGGGGAAAGATAATAGAATGGTTTGGGTTGGAAGGGACTTTTAAAGGTCATCTAGTTCAACCTCCCCTGCAATGAGCAGGGACATCTTCAACTAGATCAGGTTGCTCAGAGCCCTGTCCAAGCTGACCTTGAACGTTTCCAGGGATGGGGCATCTACCACCTCTCTGGGAAACCTGTTCCAGTGTTTCACCACCCTCATTGTAAAAAATTCTTTCCTTGTATTTTGTCTGAATCCACCCTCTTTTAGCTGAAAACCATCACCCCTTGTCCTATCAAATCAAAGCATGGTAGAGGGCATTACAAAGGGGGAAGGATTTCCATTGAAACCAATAGCTTTGCTGTGCAGCCAGGGAGAAAACAGCCCACCTGGGAGAGTGATGTCTGATTTAACAAACAAAAAGAATTACAAAGGGGAGCAAAGAGTAGAGCACGATGGATGCTTTGTGCCCCTCCCGAATGCCCTGGTATCATCTGGTGTGAAGTCTTGCTGGCTCTCGGTGAGGAAGGGACCCTGCCAGCTCCTGCGGGCGTTGTTCGGCCCTGCTGATGGGGTGGCTCTCAGTCCACATCTTTCCCACTGTCTCAGCTTTGTATCTGTATTGCTCCATTGGATTGCAGTTTGCTCCTTGGTGGGCATGTTAGCACATGCCAAAGAGAAGGAAAAGAAATGACTTCATGAGTCAGTTTGGCTCAGAAAAAAAGAGGGTTTGTGATAGAAAAGAGAAATAAGGTGGTCACCTGGTGCCTTAATTTCCTAAGAGTAAGACTTCTGTTTTGCTGCTGGCTTGGCTCCATTGGAGGAGTGGTTCAGCTGTGCTTAGCTTGTCATCTGGGTACTCCAGCCAGCACAGCTGCTTCCAGGCAGAATATTTCCAGCTACTCTTTTCTTTTGAAAGTGTTAAGTGAAACACAGAGGTGACTTCACTTCTGCTCATACTGTGCATTTCTTTTTGCTTTTGTTGTTCCTTTTTAAGCAGCTTCATTCTCAGGCTGCAGAGTTTTTACATCAGAGAAGAAGGAACAGATATCCGCTGTCTGGTGCTGTGAGAACATCTCAGGTGGATCCCACCAGATGTGTACCTGCTCAGCTAGGATCTGTGCACAGGGATGTTCGTGACAGCAGCAGGGTCTACTTCTGGAAGGCCATGGTGCTCACACCATGGAGATATGGAGGACTTCTGAGGAGTGGCACCAAGACACCCAAGTCCATTGCTGGATCAATTCTTCAACTTCTATATGTCTCATTTCTCCATCTAAAAAAGAGCCAGGAAACCTTTCCACGTGCACGCCATGGGATCCTCCACGCTGCCCATGTGGAGGCCACCATGGTGCAGGGACAGGTTTTGCCATAGATTAATGCTCACTTGAATTTTTGCGTAGCATCCCGCATAAGAGAAAGCTGCTGAGGGCTGGGGCCCTTCAGCTGGCACCGTACCTGCTTACGTTAGTTGTGCTCTAAAAGAACCTTCATAAAGTCATTTGAATGAGTTGTTGCTAAATAGAAGCAGAGCAGGGGTTGGTTTCTAACTCCTTGGACATCAGGTTGACTCTTTCTGCCCTTGCTGGAGGGCAGAGCCCACCCGAGCGTGCTGCAGCGCGGCAGCCCCACTCTCACTGGGTTTGACCAGCCAGCTGTGCCGTCACCGGGTAATTAAAGCTTTGCAGGACCAGGGAGTTACTCAGCCTTTCACGTCAAATCCACACACAATGGTTATTTCAGCAGCACCCCAGGAGCTGCAGAAAGCTGGTGAAAGAAAAAGGAAGCGAATGGCATCTAATTGAATGCTATAGAAATATGCATCAGCCTTCCTACAGCTGCCATATGTTCCTTCCTTTGCTGCTCACTTCTTGCAGGCCCTTCTTGGCTTTGTTAGAAATAATTTTGGCATAATGTCTGCTTTTTGCTGGTGTGTTTACCTCGCTGAGGCATTTGTGAGCTACATAATGTACAAGCCACGTAGGCTTCCTCCTAGGATTTTTTTTTTTTTCCAACCAAGAGTTGAAATCTAGTTTTGAAGCATGAGACTGGATGAAAAGTGAGTTTCTGGGAGGAGGGAGCATCTACCATGGCTCAGGAGCTGGGGAGAAATCATCAAAGTCTGTGCTGCATAGGGCACTGGAAAAAGCTGTGATAAACAAAGCTGTGTAGATGTAAATTTGGGGAGCTTTGAAGGACAAAGCATCTCTCAAGGCACTCACTTATAACAGAGGGCAGACAAGAAGCATGGGTTGGGTCATCTTCAACCATGCCCCACCTGTGGTTGGGTTGCACTTTGAGAATGAATCCCTGCTGTCTGAGTGAGCTGCACACCCATCTTTAGCACTTGTTAATATATGGCATTACCTCAGTGAAGTCTTGAAGAAACCCATGAAATCAGTTCTTCTCAGTTTGATTTCTACCCGTTTTCTCTTGCAGTATCATTTACGAGGTGACGGGGATGTGGTTGTTCGGGAAGCTGTTCTGCAAAGTCTGGATCTCCTTTGACGTCATGTTCTGCACTGCATCCATTGTCACGTTGTGCTTCATTAGCCTGGACAGATACTGCTCTGTGGTGACCCCGTACCACTATTCAAGAAGGATGTCCCGTGGCAGGTGAGTGGAGTCGCTCCTCACTTTAGGTCCCTCCAAATTTTCACTTGGCCATGGCTAATGTTGACTAGGAAACAACGAGGTATTGACAGCTGCTGCCCAAAAGCAGAGCAGTGGGATGAAAGGATCTTTGCACCATTTAAAACTTCACAGAAATGTGGTGCAGGAGAAAAGGAGAACAAAGCTAAGCCGGTTTGACGGTGCTCCTGGGAAAGCCCTTCTTGAGTTCAGGATGGGTTGCAAAACGGGGTAGAAACTAGCGATGTGGGCTGACTTGTACCTTACAACTTCTGCCCTTTGCAGGCATTTCATAGGAATTTCCCCAAGGGCTAGGGGAAATGACACCCGGAACATGTGTAGCGGTCACCTTCCCCCTCTTAAACTCACAATGTTTTCTGAAGTGATATAAGGAAGAAATTTTTTACACTGAGGGTGGTGAGGTGCTGGAACAGGTTGCCCAGAGAAGTTGTGGGTGCCTCATCCCTGAAAGTGTTTAAGGCCAGGCTGGATGAGGCTTTGGGCAACCTGGTGTAGTGAAGGGTGTCCCTGCCCATGGCAGGGGGGGTTGGAACTAGATGATCTTTGAGGTCCCTTCCAATCCAAATCATTCTGTGATTCTATGATTCATGGGGGAAACACAGAGAAAACAGGATGAGTTTCTAAGCTCCTGTTGAGGTTTCATGTGAAACATCAAAATGAGGACTGCAGGGTTGGGAAAGACATCTCAGGGTGGGCGGAGAGGATGCTGCAGGGTGCTTCCCGAGGTGGATTCAGGCTCTTTCAGGGACATTTTTCCCATTACAACCATTGTGTACGATTTGTGGAGTGCGGGCAGTTGCCAAAACAAGGAGGGGGCTGCACAGCCGCCGTGTCACTGAGCCAGCGCTGCGGTGGCACTGAGGACCCAGTGTCCATCAGCTCCACCCCTACTGCTCCTCAGAGGATTTGGTAACAGCCAGATATTAAAGCTGAAACTAAACAGAAAAATCTACACACTGTTGTTTTAAATACTCACAGAAATCCTCTGTGAAACCTTCCCTCCTCTTTTTTCAGCCAGCTCGGAGCATCCCCTGCACTGACCCCAATTCTGTAAACCACAGACCCAATTATCCAGTTGTTAGAGATATTCACGGATGGACTTGTTGTACCCCGGCTTTTCCCCTGCTCGGCCACTTCTCCGAGCCCTGTGGGACTGCTGAGCAGTGATATCCCACGCGGGTTACCATGGGGATTGAATTGTACTGGATGTTCTCAACTCAAAATAACTCCGACCCTCTCTACCCTCCCCATCTCTCTCACAGATGCATCATGATGACCTGCATGGTCTGGGTGTACTCCTCCCTCATTTCCTTCCTTCCCGTCATGCAAGGCTGGAACGAGATCCCCGGGGTGGACTTTGATGCCAGCAGAGAATGCATCTTTGTCACCAACTGGATTTTTGCCATAGTGGCTTCTGCTCTGGCATTTTTTGTCCCCTTCATGGTCATGTGCAGCATGTATTTCTTCATCTACCGAGCTTCACGGCTCAAAGCCTCTCGTATCATGTCTCAGACCCTGGAGATTCACTATCACCCCAACAGCAAGCGGCAGAACCATCTGCAGCTGGAGAACAAGGCCACGAGGACCATTAGCATTATTATTTCAGTCTTTGTGCTCTGCTGGCTGCCATACTTTGTCCTGAATGTCTGGCTCGCTGCCAGAGGCACCGACTCCACCAGCACAGTCTTGCTTGATACCTTCAAGATCATCACTTGGCTAGGGTATTGCAACTCCACCATCAACCCAATGCTCTACGCTTTCCTGAACCGGGACTTCCAACGAGCCCTGAAGAAGCTGCTCATTTGCAGGCACAGGTCTCAGGTGGACATTGGAGAAGATATGGTTTCCATAGCCACGTTTTCCAAGACTGCTCCAGATCTAGAATACAGCATTACGGTGCCAGTGCCCAACGGTGCCCTGAAGGGCAAACCCAAGTAATAGCGATGCAGAATCAGTTGCTGGAGGTCATGGTACAGAAATTGCTGGAGCACATCCTAATGGAAAAATAACGGGTAGGGAAATAGGGGAAGGAAGGGCTGGAACATGACAGCTGGGGGCATATGACAAAAATGCATTTCTTCATCTTCCACAGTTTTAATAATGAGAAACTTTGGTATTTTAGGGGAAATTCATTCATGACATAGCTATGGAGCTAATTCCTTCCTGGGTAACTATTTTTTAAAGAGCATTCCCTAGACAAATTCAGTCTTCATGCTGGGGAAAAAACCATTATGATAATGTGAACTTGTCTTTGTATATATCCTGGTGACCTCCAACTTAAGGTGAGACTGTGTTTCTTATCAAGCCACTGTAGCTCTCATCTTGCAGCTTATGGTACAAATTTGACCAGTTTTAGTAACTCAACGTATGTCAGCCCGTGTACGGCAGCTGGCAAGATGGACACGGTCAAAGAGCAGAGGTCACTTCTTCACAAAGGCAGCACATGGTCCAGCAGCTTGTGCTCTCCACAGTCTGGGCTGTTGCTCTTCATTAAATCACTCGCTTCTGAAATACCGAGAGGTTCAGAGCTTTCCAGTTTCAGACTTGGTCTTTAACACTAAAGGGTGGGTTCAGCAGCAGGCAGGAACAGGTAGGAGAAATACTCTACATGCATAGACAGTGTGACTACTGCCTGTAAAATTTAAGACCATTGCTTCAATGACTTTCTGTGAATTATCTGAGTTTCCTTAGCAATCCTGGAAAGGAATATTCTATGTGGCAGACCCCAGGAGATGACCTCCAGAAAGACTTGCTGAAACATTTCTGTGTAACAGCAAGAGCACTGAGTGCCCAGGGTGTTAAAAGGGGCTACAGCTGACAAAGACCAGCCAAAGAGGGAACATGAAGAGGAATTATTACTTACTTGTGGTTTTTACACTGGATTGTCTTTGGCTTGATGCTATGAGTGTAGCCATAGAGTATTGCTAGACCACACAGCCATAAAAAAACAAGATGATAAATGGAAACGATTATTTTTACCTCTCCCAAGTGCTTGACTGGACTTCAAACAGCATCAAGCTGCACCAGCTCCCCACAGGCAGACCACAGAGCATCTCTCTGAAGGATTACACTGGAAAGGCAGGACTGCACCTGAACATCTCTGCAGCATCATGTCAGTAGGTAAAAGCAGCAGCCAAAACCCCAGGACCACAGAGCTTTTCTGTAGCAGTCACATGAGGGCTGGTGACTGCTCAGACAACAGCCATCACTTCCCCTGGCATGGTTCTGCTAGGGTCTCACGCTGGTTTACATGGGAGAGTCACTGCACTCAGAGCTTGCTCTTAGACCCATCTTCTGTGGACACAAAACTCTTCAAGAATGGCTTCTAAAATAGCTTTTTGTGAGTGCTCAGTCACCTGCAGCTTGGGACACAGAGCAAACACAGCAGAAAGATCTCCAAGCTCAGGTATGATGCTAGAACTACTGGAGTGAGGCACTCAGAGGGGTGAAGAATGTCACTTTGTTAATAAACTGAAAAAAAGGTAGGTTAGTGAAAGTCCTGAGTTGTTCTGCTCTTCCAGCTCAAAGGTAGCAGAGGACTGTCTTCAGAGGTGTAGCAAACAGCAAGTATAGAATCACAGAATGGTTTGGGTTGGAAGGGACCTCAAAGATCATCTAGTTCCAACCCCCCTGCCATGGGCAGTGACATCCTCCACTACACCAGGTTGCCCAAAGCCTCATCCAACCTGGCCTTGAACACTTCCAGGGATGGGGCAGCCACAACTTCTCTGGGCAACCTGTTCCAGTGCCTCACCACCCTCAATGTAAAAAATTTCTTCCTTAGATCTAAATCTCCCCTTTCAGTTTAAATCCATTGCCCCTTGTCCTATCACTACATGCCCTTGTAAAAAGTCCCTCTCCAGCTTTCCTGTAGGCCCCCTTTAGGTACTGGAAAGCTGCTATAAGATCACCCTGGAGCCTTCTCTTCTCCAGGCTGAAGAGCCCCAACTCCCTCAGCCTGTCTTCATAGCAGAGGTGCTCCAGCCCTCGGATCATCTTTGTGGCCCTGACTGGACCAGCTCAGCTACTGAAGACACTGGTATAAGGGCCAGAAGTTCTCTCTCAAGAGCCTGGTGGAACAAACAGCTGTGACCTGGGGTTGCACCACTTGTACTCCTGTCAAATGACTCTTCATGATGTGGATTAGGTCTCCCAGTTCCTGCGACTCCAATGACAACACGGAAGCGGTAAGGAGAATAACTACACAATCCTGCCCTTTTTCTGGGAAAAGCATCTAGGTCTGGTGGGCACAAAGGTGGATTCTTGCTTCTGCTACCCAGTTCATTTTGGTAAAACAGGACAAGGAACTGTGCTTCAGCCCCAAGAGCTATGGGGAGGAGGGAGCTGGGGGATAGGCAATATCCTCTGTGAGAACAGGCTAAGGAGCACAGTGCTGCACAGCAGAGCCCGAGACCAGAGCTCCCATTTGCAGGGCTGTAAGCCAGCAGTTGTGGTAGACTCTGTGTTCAGGTGTCCCCTTGCAAAAAAATGCTGGCAGGAAGGTACACACTGATTTCTATGGCCTCAGAAAGATCTGAAACAGTCTGATAGTTGGTTTCTAAACATTCATAAACTGAAAGAAGACAAATGAACTTGCCTATGAGCCCTCAGATGTTCCTGCCACCAGGGCTATCATGTAAAGATGGGGATCTCACAGACAAGGTAGAAAGCTGCTGCTGTCATCCGTAAAGAGCTGAGAAAAGCTCACCTTCGCTGCTTTCCCTTCTAGATGTCAGCATAGAACAAATGCACATCAGACCAAAGGCCTTTGGTCTTTCAGTCATTGTTGACTGAAGAACATCATCTGGCAGAAGGACAGGGGTGGAACAGGGAAGTGTAGTATAATTAAAACCTGACTTAAAGAAGGAAGACAACATGGCAGGTGCATCCCTCTGGGTAGCCTGGTTCTGAAGAGCTGGTAAAATAGTCCTGGAACTGATGGTATTGTTGAAGCCCAGATGGGTGGCTCATAGCACAAAGAAGTGTCCTCTTCCCCCACTGGTGGGGCAGAGCAAGTGGAGCTGCGAGAGGCAGGGCAATGAGTGCTTGCAGGCAAGACCTGAGTTCAGAGGAAAACCTCTCTGAATAGGGAAAACACTTCCTTAGTCAAACCCTGGAGCAAAAAGGAGCAAAGACAGGGATGACACCCTCCAGCATTCAGTGCTATGAGAAGCAAAGACTCGCTGACACAGGTGGTTAAGAGCTGAGCGTGGCCAGGTCCTTTTGTAGCCTGTGGGCATGCACCACAGGGTAGGATTTGTACATGCCTTTGAGGATAAGTGTAACATCCCAGAATACGCAGGCACACCTCATGTGAACACGTATGCCGTTTTTGGTACTGAAATGCTGCAGGGCCCTTGGAATAGGCAGCTCCTTCCATCCAGCACAGATATACAGCAAGTCAAAAATACCTTATTATTCATTTCCTGTGCTCCATCAGTAATCACTGAAGTGGCAGGGAAGCTAGAGAGGCTTCAAACGTCACCATTTCACTGTGCAGTTATACTTGATGCTAACAGGAAAATCCAAGGGAAAAGGATACACTTAACTGTCTTCTGTATTAACCCAGCTAAACTTTATCGAGTTCTGCTTTTGACTAAATATTCCTTGCAGCATTCTGGCTTCAACTGGACAAGCCAGTATCTAGGAGAGTTATCCAAGAGCAGAAGGAAGACCATCTTTGCAATCCACTTTTGCCTTACCATAAAGCTGCAGTGTCAGCTGTTTAATTGCTAGTCACAGAATCACAGAATGGTTAGGACTGGAAGGGACCTCAAAGATCACCTAGTTCCAACTCCCCTGCCATGGGCAGGGACACCCTCCACTACAGCAGGTTGCTCAAAGCCTCATCCAACCTGTCCTTGAACACTTCCAGGGATGGGGCAGCCACAGCTTCTCTGGGCAACCTGTTCCAGTGCCTCACCGCCCTCAGTGTAAGAAATTTCTTCCTTATATCCAATCTAAATCTCCCCTCTTTCAGTTTAAATCCATTGCTCCTTGTCCTGTCACTACACGCCCTTGTAAAAAGTCCCTCTCCAGCTTTCTTGTAGGCCCTTTTAGGTACCAGAAGGCTGCAATAAGATCATCCCCAAGCCTGCTCTTCTCCAGGAACAGCCCCAACTCTCTCAGCCTGTCTTCACAGGAGAGGTGCTCCAGCCCTCGGGTCATTTTTGTGGCCCTCCTCTGGACTTGTTCCAACAGCTCCATGTCCTTCTTGTTTTGAGGGCCCAACACTAGTCATAGTGTCCCACCACAGTACAGCGCTCCCCAGAAAAATCTGAATCCAGCATCTTTTTGAGAAACTGATTTCGGAGCCTTCAACTTCAAAAGTTTAAGCCTGTAAAACAGGAATATGCATTTATGCAAAACCAGTTCTAGTACTGTAAGAATTATCCCTTCCTCTTCCCTCTCTGTTTGGAGAGATTGCCTCCGTAATCCACTCAGTTTAGGAGAGCTCAATTCCCTTCTTTCTTCAGGTAGCATCTCACTTCCAAGCAGCACATTCATCTCTGGGTCATCACGTGCACTGTGGCAAAGCTGCGAGAGGGAAGTGCAGCAAGCCAGAGAAACGTGGTGCCCGTCCTCCCGTTCCAACTGCACGAGGCTGCCATCTGCAGCAGAAACGTTTTGAACAGAAACGACAACGATTTTTCTTTTTTATAAATAAAAAAGTTTATTAAATCATTTAGACTTGAAAGAAGTCACAATAATTAATGCACTCAACAATTACAGTGAGTGCATTCTGTACACCACCAACCCAAATGGATTGATTCTGTATTTCATAAATAAAAAATAACGTATTTACAATGAGAAATAAAAGCATGGCATTAGGCAATTAAATTAGCGGATTACACAAATGCCTATCAGTTGATTTTTTTTAAAAAGTACAAATCTACAAGATTACATACGACACGTATGACTTCATTAGTTTTAAATTT